TTTTTTTTTCGTGATTGGCCGTTGTGCGTATCTGATTGCTGAAGAGGGGTGTGTGTCCCTGGAATGAAGGTTTCTTCACTAACTTGTAGAAAAACATATAAAATACATGGGAGAATAAGTTCTAGTATGTCTTTACAAAATGATATTGTGGAACACTGTTAATGTAGCATTCGTTCAATATATATGTATACTCCATATAATATATAATATAATATATATATAATATATATATCCATATAAATATAGTTTTAAAATCCTAACCATGCCAATTAGATCATATTGATACTAAAATACCAGGGATATATATAACACATATTTATTATCACATATACACATATACACCTCTTGCGAATAGTGCACTAGTTGGGTCATATTAATTATAATTTATATAAATAGTATCACTCCAATTATATAAATCCACACAATATCAATAAGTAGAAACAATAGTAATATATCACATATCATAATCATATATATAAGTAAATATTATATTTTTGTATGTATACGTCACTGGTAATGTATCACCGTCAAATTAATGAATACATTATAACATATATGAAGTAGTGACCATTATGCTATTAGATATAGTATGGCTTTATAATTATTTTGTGAGTGCGAGTGTTGTTTCGTTGTTTGTACTAATTATTTATAGTATATTTACATTAAAATATATAATATATATATTATAATTTACTATGTAATAAAGAAAATTTATAAGTATATATATCTAATGTAATGTATGTTATATCGAGTATAATATATATATACACTAAACAAAATTATCATATAATATAACAATAATTATATTTACTTAATTAAATATATAAATAATATAGGAAATTATAAATACTAGAATTGTGAAGTGTGTGAGTGTTTGTTTAATGTATATATTAAATATAATAAAATAATAAAAATAATAATTACTCACTAACATAAAGATAAATACTATTGATAAATATATAGTTATCAGTATAGTATCATTCAGGGGCAAAATAATATAACATATATGTATGTATATATATATATATATAATATATAATATATAATATATTATATGGTATTTTATAAATATACTAGCACAATACAAATTGTAGGTAACGTTATTTAAATTCAAATATAATATTGCTATATGATAAACCATATATTAAGTTTTATATAACTAAATAAAAAAATAATATATAATTATATATAGTGCCTATAGTATATTTTATCTCAAACTATACTTATTATAAACTACAAATAATATTATACTAATATATATATACTTCACTATATTATAGATAATATGATATATATCCTTTCAGGAATGAAACAGTATATAATACCTAAAATAATAAAACAATAGTAATTCCCATTGTACCAACTAAGTTTTTTAAATATACGCTAAGCAAAGTAATAGCTTTGACATATATATATATTATATAGTGAAAACTCAACGAGATATATAATATATATATAAATATATATTGTTATATATATATATATATATAATATATAGGTTAATATATGTCTAATATATTATAGTTACTTGTATGAGTAGCTAATCAAATAATATATAGAGAAAATAAATATATTATATATAGGAATATTTTTATTATATATATATCATATACAGGATAAATAGTATATGTTTATGTCATAATATATATATGTATATATATAGATATAATGATATATATATATATATTATATAATATTATATATACACATTTACTTACTTATATATATTATGAGCATATATTTAAATATAATTTATATAAATATACTAATCGTCATCATGAAATATAAATAATATAATATAAATATAGGAATATAATAAAATGATTAATATGTAATATTTATTATTATATAACATATAATAAATATTATATATATTATAATATATATCATAACGTTTTACATCACTCATTATGTATATAGATATATATATGTGGAATCACTATAATATCATTTTCATATTCTATTAATATATATATTATACATTAATATATCGTAAATATATACTCAACTTAGTCATACCATTAGTAAGTGACTTGGATATACTAATATCAATAATCATTATTCTATTTTATATTATATATATATAATATATATAATACTATATAATACACCTTTTCTACCACATCTTGAGGAATATATATAATATAATTACTATATTAAGTATTCAGAAAAAATCTTTTAACATATGCAGTAATCCTAATCAAAGTATGGCCATGTAAGTAGGTTTATCAATTTATCAATAATAAATGATTATTATAATATACAGAGTATCTATAATACAATCATTAAGTCTGAGTTATATATATACCTGTTATATGTATTCGATCAATTTTATTGTATCATTATTATTATATACTAATATATCTAATATATAATAATATATACTATAGTAAATAATATTTATATTTATATAATATAGGTTATATGTACATTTGTAATATAGGGTGTATTATTTGATATATAATAAATAATATCATTTGGTGTATTAATAATATTTAAT